ATCCCCACTGGTTTTACTGTACGGGACATGCCTTGCATCCCAATGGCTCACGAAAGCATCATTATCAGGATTGTAAGCTGACTGGCCCCCTCAGAATACGCTTAGACAACTTAGAGCAATGCCGCTTGTCTCTCCTACTTTACTTTAGTGCCATTAGACCCAACTTCCTGGCTGTTTATGACTCCCTCAGCTTGGGTTTATTTCAGAATTTTGAATACAGCAATATAAAGTGACATAATAAAGCACCGTGAGTATGGTACAGTGACAATGCTCTATGGGAGTTTGGCAGATAGATGCTGATACTTTTTTAGAAATAAGAACTCCCATGGCTTGCAGCTCCTCCGGCATTGGCTGATATAGACAATAGCTGCCCTCATGTTTATTTTAGGCAGTGCTTGCTTGAAAATAAGATACTTAAAGCATTTTTAAACGTGTTAGTATGGTGGAAAAAAACTGTTCTCAGCAGAAAAATGCTTTTGTTAAGTACATTCATAACAAAGAATTCATTTGAACAGAATACTAAGCAGCATCCGTATTTTACTGTCGAGGAGTTTTTATTTATAGGTTAATGGCGCAGAAACGCCGCACACCCAGGCCCTCACCTGGTTTCTAATCTTCTAGCTCCAGAGAGCAAGCCTTTACAACCCTACCACTGCCCACATGACAAGGCTCCACTCCAGGAATGTGTCTTGGTCTTTGAACCATTCTGACTCCTCCTCAAACTGAGGGTCTGAGGCCATGGTTGTTGACCAGAAAACTGTAATGCTATCTCTGGATTTGGGAATGAATCTTTGTCTCAGTTGGAAGACTTTACGTTTCTTGGTGTCTTGTTATTGAGTGATCCAAAAACGTAACCAAGATCAGACCACAGCATTATCTGCAGTGATGAAGGCAATGCCCCAGTGTCTAATGGTGAGGGGTAATGCTTTTGACTTACTGGTCTATTTATGTTTCTGACTTTCACTTATAGTCATGAGTTCTCAGTCATGACAAGAAAACTAGATCATTGAAAAAAAGGAGCTTAGAATAATTTTCATCCATAGGGTGGCCAGGCTCTGCCTGAGAGATCATGAAAGGAGGTTGGTCACCTGGAGGGAACTCCAAGTAGAAAAAAGGCAATGGTTCAGACATCCTATTGGGGTGTCTCCTGGTCACCTTCCTCTGGAAGTTTTAAGAACATGTTCTACGGGGAAGACACCTCTGGGAAGACCTGAAGGGATCAGATTTCCACTCTGGCCTGGGAACACCTTGGGATTCCCCAAGCTTGATGAGGAGCTTGACAGTGTCAGTGAGGAGAGGGGTTTCCCTCTTGACTCTAATGTCACCTTGACCCAACCTTAGATAGGCAATGGGAAACAGATGGATGGCTTGAAGATCAGACTTACTAACAGTTTAATTGGGTTTTGCATAAGTTTGTACATTTTTATTTTGATTTTGTAAGCGAGCTGAATCTGTAAATTATCACCTTTTAAAATATTTAACGTTAAAACCATGTAGATGCATTTACTTATCAAGATGTTGGTTAGTTTTTGTTTTTTAAGAAACCGTTGTAGACCCGGACATTTTGAAATGGATAAAGCAAATTATTCAGATGAGCCACTTTTATTGTGCTGCACCACAAAAAAAATAAATAAATAAATAAAAAAAAATTAATAAATAAAAAAAAGACTAATGAAGACAAGTTGGAGCACTAAAAGTTTTGTTCAGTTTAGGATATAAATTTGCTTCAAAATGTCATGGTTTGTGTCTGTGTCTCCCCTCATGTGTCTCCTGTTGTCCTCCATTTGTCTCTAGGTGCTCCTTTTGTGTCTTCTAGCGCCCTCATGTGTCATGTCTGCATCTTCCTCATGTGTCTCCTGATGTTCCCCATTTGCCCTCTAGGTTTCCCTCCTCAGACATCCCTCTCCCATGTCCTGTGCTCTCTTGGCCCCCTCTTAGCCATGCCCCTGCAGTGTTTTCCTTTAGTGTCAGCTTCCCCTTAGAATATTAGTTTTGGTCCACGCCTTCTGGTCTTTTGTTTTTCTCTTAGGTGATTTTCCTTTTTTTACAGCCTTTCATTATTTAGTGTGTTTTTTCCCTCCAGTGTTTTCTTCCTCCTCCCTGATTTAGTAATTGTGTTCACCTGGTCCCTCTCCCCACACACCTGCAATTCATCTCCCTCTCATCTTCCCAGTCTATATAAGCCCTGTCTTGTCTCTGTGTTGTTGTCGGTCCATTGTATTTTTGTCAGCATTGTTTCGTGCTCTATGTGAGCTTTATGTCTCCAGACTTTGGTGCTCTAAGAGAGCTTTCGGTGTCTTGTGTTCCAGGACTTTTGGTTCCTGACTTTGGTGCTCTAAGTGAGCTTTATTGTCCTGTGTTCCAGGACTTTTGGGATTTTGGCTCGCTGCCTTGTGGATTTATTTTGTTTCATCCTGCCAAATAAAAGGATTTTTACTTTTTACCAACTCCTGCCTCCTGTCGTCTGGGTAATCTGCATTTTGGGTCCTAACCTTTTCCACAACGTGACACAAAATTCAATTTGAAAGTTTGGTTGAACAAAAAAGAAACAAAACAAAAATCAACCCATTGGTTTTTAATAAAAATCAGAATGTGGAGAGAACTTAAAGTTCTGGTACCTGAATGGTTGTGTCGCTGCTTATCAGCGGGGCTAATTGAAAAAGGCTTTAATTTGTTACAAAAGATCAGACTCTGGGCTGGTGAGAAAAGGGTAATGATTCCAGATTTAAACTGCTCTTGAGAGATGGCTGCATTTGGGTAAAAAGGTAGAAAAGGAATTCATTTATCAGTCCAACAGAACAAGCCTGTAACAAGGCTGCTTCGGTTGGTCTGGTTTGAATTCATCCGCGTTTTGTATAACCCATGAATCAGCTTACTAAATATACACGTTTCTCTATTCAGAGCTTTTGGATGTCTTTATGTATTTCCAGTATAATGGTTATTTTTAATGCTGAAAGTTCTTTCATAAAGGTTAAACTGTGAAAGAGTGATTCAGGTGCACAGTGATTCTTCCATCAGCAGGCTCTCTTAAAGGACGGTTTGGATTAACGTGCTGTGTTTCAGATTAAAGATGTAAGACAGCAGTGTGATGCAGAAGACCAAAAAGCAGGAGAAAGCTGTGTTTTAAGTGAAAGACTCAGGTTTTCCCCTTTAGCCATGCTGCATTGTAGACCCTCAGTGGAAGAGCTTCACAAAGGGATACAGAAACACTTCAAATATTTCAAAGCAGGTATAACAAGTCTATGTTTGCATTGGGAGAATGCTGCTGTCAAATCATCAATAAAATATCATGCTCTCGGTCTAAAAAGCACCAAAAACCTCATCTGGACTTTACACCTTCATTCATTTCTTTTTACTCGAATGCAGCACTTGGACTGCCGCAAGTGAAGAGTGGAATTGCATCTTTGTGGTTGAAAACACAAACTGGTGTTTGTATTCAATGTTGTAATAATATGAGTCAAAGAAATACCAGATGGTTACAGAACACAGTTAAAGTAGATGAATGGGGGAAAAAAAACTACAGACTCCAAACAGGAAAACAGAGAATATTTCTGAAGAGTTTCAGTGAGATTTTTTTAAAACAGAATATTGTAGGAATTTGTTTACCTTTGCTGTTTTTGTCATATTGTGTTTGTCAAAGCACTTTAATGTATCATTAATCCATTCACACACTGATGGTGATGAGCTACAATGTAGCCACAGCTGCCCTGGGGCACACCGACAGAGGCAAGGCTGCCAAGCACAGGTGCCACCGGTCCCTCCCACCGCCACCTGCAGGTAAAGCGGGTGAGGTTGCCCAAGGGCAAAACAGCAGCTTCCGCTGGTGGGAGCCGGAATCGATTCTACAACCTGCTCTACCTCCTGAGCTACTGCTGAGTTTAAACTACATGAAAAAAGACACACACAAAAAAAGAATTAAAAAAATGAGCGTCAGATTAAGACTCCAACCCCGGTTTCACACTGAAAGCATCAGCGGCGCAGAACAGGAGCAGAGTGCCGCTGCTTCAAACAGAACCCATTATAGTCTATGGAGGGTTTCAAACCAGCAGTGACGTGGCAATTTCCAGGCGCTTTCCAGAAGCGGCACGCCGCACCACCCTGCTAAAGATCGGATCAGGTTCTATTTTTGCCTTGTGCCGCTTCTGGGATGCTTCATTTTCTGCAGTTAGGACTAGACAGGAAATCACACACTGTTTCAGTGTAAAATCACCGGTACATTTCAAAATAAAAGTACTGAAGCTATGCAGTTTCATATATATAAAGCTTATGTGTGACCCAACAGCTTAGTTATTGACACCATTGTTCCAGAAGTGCAGCAGTGTGTTTTTCATGGCTTTATTCCTGGCACTGGAGAGGAACAACATCATATATGACATCAAACAGCAATTTAAAACATGATTTCCTTCTTTTTGGTTTAATGGCAGATTGTATAAACAAACCGTGACCTGCAGTCTTGAGAGAACTTGTAATCTCATGAGTCCAGCAGCGAGGAAGCCGTGTTCTCCCGGTGTGAAAAGCACCGGTTTGAAGTTTGCGAGAAAACTGTTCTGCGCTGCTGATGCTTCCAGTGTGAAACCGGCGTAATCCAGATCAGAGCATAATGACCAAACTGTCAGTGGCAAACTGGCCTTCGGGAGCACCGGGACGTTTCTTGGCGGCCTGATGTTCCCCCAAATAGCTGCAAACATCACCTCCATCTTAAAGGAGATGGACTAAATAATAAAAAAGGGATCCATACTTCCACAAGGCACTCTGACTCTTGGCTTGTACATTGATTAGATGTTGGGTCACCACTATGGTCTTGAAGGGAATGTTTCCCTGGATTCTTGTGTGGTCTAGTGACACATAGAAAAATAACTTGTATTAGGTTTACCTCAAACTTCATCAGCCTCCTCAGCTTCTCCATCTGCATGTAATTGGCTGATTGGTTTGTGGTAAAGAACAATTGAAGATGAGCTTCTACTTGGGGGGGATCTGTGTGCAACACTCTCCACCAGAGCAGCCCAGAGCCCTCGGAGACACACGTCTGTGTGGTTGTTGGACTCAAACGGCTCCAGTGTGTCTTTAAGTGCGCGTGTGTGTGGAGTTTTCCTGCGCCGGGTGATCGGATAGGAGGGGTTGGAGTGAGTGACGCTGGCTGCGCCTTGGTGCTGAGCGGAGCGCTCACCTGCAGATGAGAGAGCCGGGGAAAAACTCGGGTCAGAGCTGCAGCACAAGCACGGAGCGTGAGGAGGGACGTAACGCACCAGCCTCACCAAGTCTACAGGAGGACTTAAGGCAACCAGCGAGGGAGAATCCCGAACCGATCCGCTCTCTTCGGTTCCCGCCCAGGCAGCCCTGACTCGACTTGACTCGCTTATTTTTGCTCGCCACAATGAGAAGTGACTTCGCCGTGGTCCTGACAGCAGTCCTTCACACGTTCTGGGTGAGATTTGAGTCGTTTATTTTATAGCTCGTGGAGAGAAAAAAAAACGAGCTGGAAGAAAGTCACGCAGTCGGATAGAGTCGTTGCGGTGTTCTGCAGCACCAGCTCGGTGCTGCACGTTATTTTCCTGCAAGTCCGTGACGCTAATTGGTTCCCTAATGGGTTTAGAGCAACAAATAAAAAGTAACACAACTTAAAGCCCACTAATCGGACGGGATCTTCTGGAAATTGCTCCAATATCCCACAATAGTGTAATTACGCACCATGATCTATGCAGCCGTTCTCTTTATCGCACCAATTTAGTCATCAGGTTTCATTTGGCTCCAGCTGACTTCATGTGGAAAATTAAAATACCGCTTCCAAAAGCAACATTCAGTAAAAAGTTAAACTTTGATGCTTTTTAGTTCCTAATTCAATCAATAAAACCTGAATGAAGTCTGCGCCGGGGTCTTTCCCCCGGTGCTTCTCCAAGTGGGAGCCTGTCGGTGCATCTTCCCCTGGGCTGCGCCTGCCTCCGCCGTAGTTTCTGTCTAGAGCACATTTTAGATCTCTGCGTTATTCTCTCCTAAATTACAGCTGCAAGGATCCTTTTCATTTCCATAATGCGCGTGCATATCTTTGCATGCATGCACAAACGCGCGTGTGTCAGTGTTTGTGTGTGCACTGAGACAGTAGAGATCTGGAATGGGACAGATAGATTCATTTATCCGTAAAGGAGCATCAACATGTTGGGTCTAAAGTCGTCTGCACTGGTTAATAAAACACGCACACACGCACGCGCACACTAAGTCATTTGAACTCCCAAATATCCACAGCATGGAGGGAGAAACTGATGCTGCATTCATGCAGTTTTCTCTTATGTGTGTGTGTGTGTGTGTGTGTTGTGTGTGTGTGTGTGTGTGTGTGTGTGTGTGTGTGTGTGTGTGTGTGTGTGTGTGTGTGTGTGTGTGTGTGTGTGTGTGTCACTTAACCCTGAGCACAACACTTAAACTAATTCTATCCTGATTTCATTCAGGCGAGTTATTTTATCTCAAGCGTTGGACTGAGGGACGATTTAATCATCACCAGGAACATAAAGCACAAACTTGTTGAACATATTTCTGCTTACTGCTGTTTTATATGCTGCTTTGTTCCGAGGCACAACAAAAGAAATAAATAAAAAAAGAAAATCAATGGAATCTATGTTACATCTTTATTTATTTCTCCTCCTTCCAGGGGAATAATGCCGAGCATGCCTCCAAAGGTTCCTGTCGGCCCGGCTTCTCACAAAGCTTCTACTCCGTGCTGATTTCAAGGGATGTACTGCAAGGCCAGGGCATCGTTAAAGGTAAGGCCTGTAATTGGAAAGTCAGGAGGGCTTTTATTTTCCTACATTTCATCAAAAACGTTTTCTGATGAAGTCAACCACCTCCTCAGCAGAAGAGCCGCTGTCGGTGGCACGCTGTGCAGCTTTCACATCACTGAAGCGTTGCTTTTGGTAAAAATGATGTAAAACAGAAAAGAGAAACTTGATTTACTGGTGAAAACATTTGAAACTGAGCATAATGAACATGTTACACTGGAGGAACTCATTGGTGGGACATCATTACGCTTCTTTGTTATTTTATTACACAACAATCATGTTTTAAAAACTTGTCCATTTTATTTCAATTATTTCTTCAGAAGCATTTATTATGCACATTTAAAATGTGTTTCTGTGGCTTTTTGGATCCTTGACTTCAAATCAGATTGTTAAACCTCATCCACCATGATGCTTTTCATTATTTTAGCACTTGCTGCTTTCATTTTTACAGAATTTTACCAAGTTGCATGTGAATTGCTTCAAACGAATAGGTTTGAGGGCTCGATAGTGCAGGAAGTGAAATCAACATCCTGAGTCTAATCTGGCAACGCTCCTGCCAATGCGGGCTAATTGCAATTCTCTATTGATCCCAGTGTTTTCTTACTTCTAGCTTGAGCTGTATTTTTATTTATTTTTTGCTGTGGGCAAACAATGACTCTTATTTATTTTTTGTCTTTTTCAGAGGGTTCTGCTATCTGCTATGCATTTCTTGCTTTCTTTAGCTGTGTGAGACTTGGCAGAGATGCAGCTGTCAACACTCTCTGCCCTGACTTTACCCAATTTAGATTTTAGGGTGCACAGTCCAGTTGAGTGTATTTTTTAGTCAGTCTTCCTTATCTTTTTTTATTTATCCTTACATGTGCTTTCTTGTTGTGACATCGGAGTGACGGAAGGTTTGTGTTGCACCCCGGCTGGGTGTGGGATTGGATGTGGGACATTGTGGCTTGCAGCGAGCTTGCTCTTAGCATGGTAGTGATGTCTTCAGCCCAGCAGGGGGTGTCAGCTCAATCACAAATAGTCACAGAATGAACCATCGCTGCTGCACAGGAGTCATTTATTCCAGAGAGCATTATTTATCTAGTTTGCTCTCCAGGAGATGAAATTGTTTCCACGTGAGCGCGCGCGCACACACACACACACACACACACACACACACACACACACACACACACACACACACACACACAAACCTTTATAATGTTGCTTTCAGTTTTCTTTCAGCAGATACATTAGTGTGTGTTACGTAATGAGTAGTTTCGACATGAAAACACACATTTGTTCCTTTAAATTACAATTTACTTTTTATTTAGCCTGTGCTGCTTGGGAAAATGATCATGGGCCTGCTGCATGGTCATCTTTGTGTTGTAGAGCACAGCTGTCGTGTCCAGCACACACACACACACACACACACACACACACACACACACACACACACACACACACACACACACACACACACACACACACACACACACACACACACACACACACACACACACACACACACACACACACACACACACACACAGAGTGTGACTTACAGTGCTCCAGAGGCTGATTTATAGTTAAGAGGGGTGTCACTGAAGACAGGCAGGAAGCGGCTCTGCGAAGGCTTTAATAATAACATTGTTTAACCCAAAACCGTCAGATGAGGCAAGGAGTAATGACACCACCTCATGCACACACACTCACACACACATAGAAATATATTCATGTTAGCCACCAAGGGTAATAATGGAAAGGACAGAACTAGGACCTTGGCTGTGATGAGTAGAATGCCTGGGTCCAGACAGCAGGTCAGCAGGGAGGAGGAGGAGAAGGAGGAGGAGGCAACATTCACTTTTTATCATTTTCAGACACACCGATGTGCCAAATTTGCCTAAAACCCAAAAGAATGGCTTTGTTTTTTAAAACCACTGCAGCAAAAATAGCAATCAGGCTAAACCTTAATCTCACTACTGTGTAAGATTTGTGTGAAAGCATTTTTTTGTGTTTGTGTGTGAAACAGCTTTCATTTCCTCTTTCATTATGGTGTTTCATCTTTCACTCAAACATGACCTTTTCATTTTATCTTATTTTCAGTAGTGATTTACACGCTCAACTCCCTGATGAGTAATTTGAAGTTTCTCATAACTTTGTTTTTAATACTGTCTGAGTGAACAATGATGCTAATTTAGGTCCTTCTGAACAACTCATCTCTTTGTCACCAACTCAGGCCTTTGTTTAATTTGAGCAAGAGTAATATCTTAAAAAGATTTAAAATCTGCAGACTGCAATAGGGGTGCAGGCATGGAAATGTGTGAGTTATAAAGTAAAATGAAATTTCTGAAATGTGTCAACACTACAGATTATTAAAATGTTTGTAATCTATGGGTGTAATAACAGAGCAGCATGTTTGAGCAATGCGAGAAAAAGATATTAATCCTCAGTGCTTTAATTTAGAGGAATAGGATGTGACATTTGTTCAAGAGAGACGTAAATGTGGAGAACAGATCGTACACAGACAGAAGCCCATAGCAACTATAGACCAGTTCTCTCAATCCCTAAATTATAAATAGAAATTACTCCAAAATGTGCATATTTGAAAAGTTGGCTCTCTTGAGTTTGGTTGAGTTTTTATTACATATTATTTCAGTTGACAGATTGGCAGTGAGCATCAGCTCACTACAGTAACCCAGAAGGACCAAAAAACTAACACTGGCTCGGGACTGGTCCTCATGGTTGTTCATGTGTAATCTTAGTTATACACAATACACCTTTAATATGTGTTCCATATTTCACAGCGTTTTTTTTTCTTTTATAAAAGCTGCACTGCGTAGCTTGCAGAAGGTGCTACAGAGAGCGCGCCATGTGGCTGTTAGAGGAACTGCAGGCAGCAAAATGAGTTCTCCTGTGAAGTTAAAACCTGTAGTTTTATTTATTTATTTTTTTCACTACCACCTTAAACTCAAGTAACAGAAAAAGCTGTGCCGTTTGGAAAGCATTGGAGGCTGGTAATAGTCGGCGAGTTAGTAGGGGAGAGCATTGGAGAACCGGGGGAATTTGGCGGGCGATTGCGGAAAGTTATCGCAGGGACAACGAGCCAAAATTGGATAGCCATTGGTAGGGATGGGTACCTTTGACATTTGAATCGATTCGGTACTAATTCCTGGTACCTAGGAATCGATACCGGTACTTAACTGTACCAATTTTCGATACTTTTGAGTGTTTAATATTTTAATTCTCTTTTATAATAAAATATACATTTTTCTCAATATATAACCATATTTGATAAATATCACGATTAATAACATACAACTGTTTGTATTTTAACATCGTCCTTGTAGTTTTATAAGCTGACAATTAAACTGAAGCAAACATCTTTACTGTGAACTAAATTTACGGTGTATCTTCATTCCTTTTGCCGCCCTTTTTCATTTGACTTTTCCTACTGGGAAGTTAGAATTTCCGAGGAGAAAGCGAACGCACTATTAGCTGATAACATTGGTGGCAATGGAAGCTAACATATCAAGCTAACTTTATCTTAAACAGTTTAACTGCTGGAGCAGATTAAAACGATGATGCCTCACACTTAGATTGTTGTCGCTGGTTTCATCTTCACCCAATCACCCGTCGCATTTAGTAAAGTGAAGCCAAACTTTAGAGCGCGTCCATGTTCTTCTAGTCGGAAATTCGGAGTTCCGAGGAGAAAGCGAATGCACCATTATCTTAAACATTTTATTTACCTACCAGAGCAGATTTTTTTTTTTCATCTTTTATTTCATTCACAATGTATAAAATAAACACAAACAAATACAGGATACATTAACATATTGAAAAAAAAAACATTTGAATGAAAAGGAGCAGACAGAAGAAAAAATCTTATGATTTCTGCCCCTTTTTACGAAATAAAATTATCCGCCAAACAAACACAATATAACCTCGGTCACTTTATAATATTTTCACGTCTAATCTTTGACATTATAATTCTTCTTTTCATAATTACTAAATACATTAGATTTTATACATTTTTTAAATATTGCAAGTGTAGTTGATTCTTTAAATTCCTTGTTAATGGCATTCCACAATCTTACACCATTTACAGAAATGTTACATTCCCTCACTTTGGTTCTGAATCTAGGTTTCTCAAAGACATCAGTTCCTTTTAACATGTACCCACTTACTCTCTTATGAAACATTTTCTGAATATTAGTTGGTAGATTACTTGTATTCGCTCTGTACATTATTTGCAATATTTTCCACTCTACCAAGTCAGGAAATTTCAGTATTTTGTATCTAATGAATAATTGATTAGTGTGATCTCTATAGTTACTGTTATTAATGATTCTCAATGCTCTTTTTTGCAAAATGATCAATGGTTGTGTAAAAGTTTTGCAAGTGGCTCCCCAAATTTCTAAAGATTAAGATGAGGATGTGTCATTTAGATTGTTGTCGCTGGTTTCATCATCACCCAGTTACCCATCACATTTAGTGAAGTGGACCAAAGCTTTAGCATGCGTTCTTTCTACCATGCTGCTCTGTTTACAACTCGCTTGCAGGGAACGATGACATAACGCTCTTGCGCATGCGCAGCTGTCTAGGCAAGTTCTCGTTATGAAGGGCGGGTACCGAAATGAGGCACCGTTTCAAATGACGTGAATCGGTGCTCAGTCGGTACTGTGGAATTCGGTCAGTACCTTAAAAAGTACCGAATTCGGTACCCATCGCTAGCCATTGGAGGTTTTCCAGCTCCCCACCCTGGTTCTCAAAACCTATCAATGTCCTAGAACTTAGTCCTAGTACCATGCATGACAGGCAGGAGTGCAGGCTGCCTGTGTTGCATGACTCTGGGCAAAACCAGGCGGACATGTCATGTCACAAATGTAGAGACCCAGGCTGAAATTATCAGCCTTTAGGGCTGCTTCTGAGGCCAAACTTGGCTGTAGAACAATGAGGACTAATAGCCTGGGATAAGCACACAAGAGCAGGAATGAATTGCTGGCAGG